CCTCACACGCCCAGCAGATGGCGCTCTCCTTATCCCCTCACACGCCCAGCAGATGGCGCTCTCCTTATCCCCTCACACGCCCAGCAGATGGCGCTCTCCTTATCCCTCACACGCCCAGCAGATGGCGCTCTCCTTATCCCCTCACACGCCCAGCAGATGGCGCTCTCCTTATCCCCCCTCACACGCCCAGCAGATGGCGCTCTCCTTATCCCCTCACACGCCCAGCAGATGGCGCTCTCCTTATCCCCTCACACGCCCAGCAGATGGCGCTCTCCTTATCGCCTCACACGCCCAGCAGATGGCGCTCTCCTTATCCCCTCACACGCCCAGCAGATGGCGCTCTGCTTATCGCCTCACACGCCCAGCACATGCGCGCTCTCCTTATCCTCTCACACACCCATCCAATAGCGCTCTCCTTAAATGCATGTCTGATGCTCAGAAATTTTCCGGAGGCCATACCTCTTGAAGGGAATAAAATTTGGACTCATCACTGAGATTACATCAAGCCAGAAAATACTTTTTCCAATTTTGGATGGCATTGGGTAGGAATTGAACTCCCGTCACGTTTTTACTGCTATTTGGGGGCTCCATTAGAGAGATTTCCCCTCACTTCCTGTCTTGTTAACAATGGTTTCACTGGACAGGAAGCGAGGAGAAATCTGCAACAAGGGGACAGACTGAAGTAACAATATGGGGGGGGGGGGGGGGTACATGCATAAGAGGCGTTGGAGATGTCCTACTGCCGGTGGTGGGATCTGACTATATACATGCAACTGCCAACCATCCAAACTTTGTATAGGGGACTTTTGAGGTAGAACACACAATTATGATTCCAGACACAAGTTATTCTAAAAGTTGATACTTTATTTACAATGTATTTGTATAGTTTTAGGTTTTGGTCTCGGTTGAGACTCGTGTGGAAGGAGCTTTAATGGTATTAATACAATGTAATAATAGCACCTTCATACCAGCCCTATAAATGTGATTTTATAGATGATTTTAATAGATTTTTCTTCTGGCTTTAGATGTACGCCTGTCCGAGTGTAACTGTTATCTGTGAAGATTGCAACATTATTCAACATTTGAAACGTACGGAACAAATATAACATGCAAAGTGTCCATTGCTTGTGGTTATGTTTCAATTGCTAGTTCTGTTAACCAGTCATTGTTCATTTCAGAAGGTCTTGTTTCTTGAAGTCATGGTTTGGTGAGATGTTGTTGACCCCCCCCCCAACACAATCCTTAAGGTTAGGGTTGGGTAAGGTACTCTTGGCCCTCATCACAGTCCTTGAAATTATGGTTGGGTAAGTTCCTCCAGATCCTATTGCATGGTTATGGCTGAGGTATGGTCTTCCTGACCTCCAATCACAGTCCTTGAGGTTATGATTGGGTAACATCCTCCTGACCCATCGCAGTCCATAGGGTCAAGAGTATCTCACCCAGTCATGACCTTAAGGCCAGCAATTGGGTCAGGAAGAAGTTACCCAGCCCTAACCTTTGGAATTGTGGCAACTTTGTTGGGTAACTTCTTCCTGACCCAATTGCTGTCCTTAAGGTTATGACTGGGCGAGATACTCTTGACCCTATGGACTGCGATGAGGTTATGATTGGGTAACATCCTCCTGACCCATCGCAGTCCATAGGGCAAGAGTATCTTGCCCAGTCATAAACTTAAGAACAGCAATTGGGTCAGGAAGAAGTTACCCAACAAAGTTGCCACAATCCCAAAAGGTTATGGCTGGGTAAGGTCTTCCTGACTCCCAGTCGCAGTCCTTGAGGTCATGGTTGGGTAAGTTCCTCCTGACCCTATTGCAAGGTTATGGCTGAGGCATGGGCATCCTGACCTCAAATCACAGGCCTTGAGGTTATGATTGGGTAAGATCCTCCTGACCCAAGGACTGTGATTGGAGGTTAGGATGACCGTATCTCAGCCATAACCTTGCAATAGGGTCAGGAAGAACTTACCCAACCATGACCTCAAGGACTGCAACTGCGAGTCAGGAAAACCTTACCCAGCCATAACCTTTGGGATTGTGGCAACTTTGTTGGGTAAGGTCTTCCTGACTCCCAGTCGCAGTCCTTGAGGTCATGGTTGGGTAAGTTCCTCCTGACCCTATTGCAAGGTTATGGCTGAGGTATGGTCATCCTGACCTCCAATCACAGTACTTGAGGTTATGATTGGGTAACATCCTCCTGACCCATCGCAGTCCATAGGGTCAAGAGTATCTCACCCAGTCATGACCTTAAGGCCAGCAAATGGGTCAGGAAGAAGTTACCCAGACATAACCTTTGGGATTGTGGCAACTTTTTTGGGTAACTTCTTCCTGACCCAATTGCTGTCATTAAGGTTATGATGACTGGCGAGATACTCTTGACCCTATGGACTGCGATGAGGTTATGATTGGGTAACATCCTCCTGACCCATCGCAGTCCATAGGGCAAGATTATCTTGCCCAGTCATAAACTTAAGAACAGCATTTGGGTCAGGAAGAAGTTACCCAACAAAGTTGCCACAATCCCAAAGGTTATGGCTGGGTAAGGTCTTCCTGACTCCTAGTCGCAGTCCTTGAGGTCATGGTTGGGTAAGTTCCTCCTGACCCTATTGCAAGGTTATGGCTGAGGCATGGTCATCCTGACCTCCAATCACAGTCCTTGGGTCAGGAGGATGTTACCCAATCATAACCTCAAGGACTGTGATTGGAGGTCAGGATGACCATATCTCAGCCATAACCTTGCAATAGGGTCAGGAGGAATTTACCCAACCATGACCTCAAGGTCTTCGACTGGGAGTTAGGAAAACCTTACCCAGCCATAACCTTTGGGATTGTGGCAACTTTGTTGGGTAAGGTCTTCCTGACTCCCAGTCGCAGTCCTTGAGGTCATGGTTGGGTAAGTTCCTCCTGACCCTATTGCAAGGTTATGGCTGAGGTATGGTCATCCTGACCTCCAATCAAAGTCCTTGAGGTTATGATTGGGTAACATCCTCCTGACCCATCGCAGTCCATAGGGTTAAGAGTATCTCGCCCAGTCATAACCTTAAGGACAGCAATTGGGTCAGGAAGACATTACCCAACAAACTTGCTACAATCCCAAAAGTTATGGCTGGGTAAGGTCTTCCTAACTCCCAGTCGCAGTCCTTGAGGTCAAAGTTGGGTAAGATCCTCCTGACTCTTTAGCAATCCTTAAAGGATAAGTTCACATTTTGGACAAAAATAATAAATACATGTTTCTTTACCGGTAAAAAAAAAGTGTGCATTTGTAATTTTTGTCCAAAAGAAGCCTGTAAAGCATTTCACCAGCGATCAGTAGATTGCTGATGCCATGCAGGTCTCCTGCAGACCTGTCAAAATATCTGCTTGCCGTACGGGATGTATAGTCAAGCAGATATACTGTCAGGAAGCTTCAATGAACTACCACGGCGCTCCACAGCACTGTGATTGTTCATTAAAAACTAAAAGCCCACAGCTGCTAAGGCTGTTGGGACTTGTAGGCACTTATTCACAGAAGTGAGTGGGGGAAGGGAGCGCTAAGACGCATCTACCCTGTGTGCGTATTGGGGATGGACCATCGGCAATGGGGGTTAGTAGAAGGTCCATGTGGAGGTGGTGTCCAAGTCCATCTGTAGTGGGGGGCTTTGTAGTAGTATGGACTTGTCCGAGGAGGCAGCCGTCTGTAAGAGCTTGTAGATACTCCTAATGCAGGTAGAGAAGAGAGATGGCAGCGCCACTCTAAGTGTAGATGGTGAGTGAGTGACGTGGCTGTGTGAGCGGAGTCCCAAATGGCCGCGCTGTTCTCAAATCTGACAGATAGCATAGGGAAAGGTCTCCCTGTACTATCTGTCAGAGGGGGGAGGGGGCTTTGGCTATGGGAACATGTTACATGTACCACCCTAAACATGGGTGGAATATGTTCCAAAGGTGAACTTATCCTTTAAGGTTATAGCTGGGTAACGTTCTCCTGACCCCACTGCAGATTAAAGGGTCAGAAGGACCTTGTCCAGCCATACACTCAAGGACTACGCTGGGGTCAGGAAGGCATCGCCTTACCACACTCCTTAAGGTTTTGGCAGGGTAAGGTCCTCCTGACCCCCCAACACAGTCCTTGAGGTTATAGTCGGGCAAGTTCCTCCTGACCTTATTAAAAAACTATAAGATTATGACTGAGTAAGGTGTTCCTGAACCCAAATCACAGTACTTAAGGACTGTGATAGAGGGCAGGAGGACTTTACCCAATCATATCCTCAAGGTCATAGTTGTGTAAGGTCCCCCTGACCCCCCATCAAAGTCCTTGCAGGCAGGTTGGGTAATATCCTCCTGACCGCATTGCAGTTTACAGGGTCAGGAGGACCTTGCCCAGCCATAACCTTAAAGACTGCAATGGGGTCAGGAAGACATCACCTAACCACAACCTTACCACATTCCTTAAGATTATGGAAGGGTAAAGTCCTCCTGACCTCCATCACAGTGCTTGAGGATATGATTGGGTAAGGTCCAACTGCTTTCCATCACAGTCCTTGAGGGGCATGGTTAGGTAAGATCCTCTTTACCCTTTGTCAATCCTTAAGGCTATAGAAGGGTAATGCCTTTCTGACCCACCATCACATTCCATAGGGGCAGGAGGCCCTCACCCAGCCATAACCTCGAGGGCTGCAATGGAGTCGGGAAGACACCCAACCATAACCTTATCACAATTATTAAGGTTACAGCTAGATTAGGTCCTCCTTGACCCCCATCAGTCCTTGAGGTTCTAATTGGGTGATTTCCTCCTGACCCCCATCGCAATTCTTGATTTTGAGTCTTAAGGTTTGAGTTTACTGTAATGAAGTGAAGCAAATTGTTATTCTTTAGAAAATGAGGTTCTTTTTCGGTGTCCTTATGCTGAAAATGAAAAATAAATCTGTTTCATTCAAAACAGTGCCTTTGGTTTTCATAATAGTGGTTGTTTGATGGCTTTTAGTTCATGGCTTTGATATCTTGCTTAGCACATTTGTCAGGACAAGCTCATATTGAATTGTCTTTCTCTATGAACTCGTACACCACTGTGTCCCCTCCGAAGCTCGCCACAAAAATAAACTCCCTCCCCCGCACACGCACAGTGGTTAAAGCTCTGGCTTCCAACACTTTGAGTTCCTGCAAGGGCACCAAAGGCCCTGAAGATCCTTCCTTGTCGTTAGTCTCCTCAACTTCCCAGTGTTTCCATTTTTCAAGCTGGTATATCCAGGCGAAGCCATAGTCATTGCCCAGGAGAGCGTGCCATTGGTGACCAAGGAAAAGAGGTTGGAAGACGTGGGAACCTCGAGACGGCAGCTGCTGCAACTGTTTAAACATGGAGCCATCCCACCTAACCAAAGAAGAGTCTCCCATGTATCTCACCAGGCAAGCAAACACTCCGTCCTCCGCATCGGTAAAGTGTTTGACGGCATAGACATCCCAGGCTTCCGGAATATCGGTGAGGCGTTCCAAGCGCTTGTTCTCAAAACGATATACTAGAGGCCTCTGGGAGCCGCTACTCATGATCAGATGTGGGGAACCCGAGAGCATTAGGGGTTCAGCATCCGTGTCACGATACCAACGAGGAAGCTGCTGCTGCGGGTAGAACCCCACACCATTCCACCGGTATAGGGTGCTGGCGCCAGACTTGGCACTGTCGGCGATGATGAAGTAGAGGTCTCCTTCGATGGACGTGAAGCTCTCAATATCGTTGGGCTTGCGGATGTTTGAAAAGTGCTGGAAGGGACGAAATGCAGATGCGCTTCCAGGAGAGGAGTCTCGGCGGTAGACATACGTGCCACCAAATAACTGGGCCACCACGACGAATAACTGCCTGCCAATTACCAAAGGCAAGCAGGAGACCACCGCAATACCTGCACCATGGAAACAAAGATGGAAGACTAAAGCAGCAACAAAAGAACAATTGTCAACACCAACTCACATCTATAACTCCACAACATTAAGACAGACATTATAAAACTTGGAATGGAGTTGCGCTTTTAATTTATTTTGGATTGAAGGGATTGGAGTGGAGAAGGGTTCAAATCCCAGGCCCTTTTTTTGTCATTTATGTCCATAGCAGGGCCGGAAGTGGCAGGAAACCTCTCCAATGAGGTCACGGGCAAAACCACATTTTTGGTAAAACGAGAAGAGTTTTTAGCTTTTGAAAGGGTCTTTTATTGCGGTCTGTGCCTTTCTGGTGACAGCGGCACCCAATTCTTGTACTGGTGTCACAAGGGCAGGAAGTGAGTGGGGAAAAATAAATCTTGAACCGTTATCAGATTTAAATTCTCCGACCCCATTAAAGTGACTCTAGCTGTACAAAAGTTACCCAACAAAGGTATTTCTTGTAAAGCCCCTTTCACACAAGGGATCCATCTGTCTGTTTTTAAAGGTGGACCTTTAATACAGTGCCATAACGTGGGGTGTCAGCGCCCGGAGCAAGGCAAATAATTTGTGCCCCCTAACCTGTGGACTTACCTGTTCTCCGCTCACACCGGTCTGGTCACATGATCTCATGTGTCAGCGGTGGCTGCAGGGGAGAGGAAAGAGCGCTCGACAATGGCTGGTAAAGCCTGAGGCGGTGACATCAGCTAGAGGGTCCCATGTTCCATCTGTTGTTGGCTCTCCCCTACATCCACCACGGCTTCACACAGGGCATAACGTGACCCACCTGGAGCAACCTGAAAATAGGTGTATACGTCTCTTCTATACAGCATAATTGTAAGGAGGGGGATGGAGAGAATTTTTAAGGCTAGTTAGGGTTAAACTGAAAATTCTACATTAATCCCTCCCCAGTGGCAGAGTTAATTTAACCCCATTGTGATGCATTAGTAGTTACTGGCAGTGTTTAACCCAAACATAAAGGGGTTAATTAACACTGACACCGGTGTCACTATTGCAGCACAAAGGGGTTAAATAACTGTCCCCTGCTCACTAAGGCATCCATGACCAATGGCAGAACATTGACCCTTTCTGGCTGCACTTTAAGGACTAACAACAGTGTTAATTAAGCCATTAACGCCCCCCCCCCCCCCCCACCATAAAAAACTGTCAAGATCACAGGAAAGAGAGATGGAAGGGGGGGGGGGGGGAATAAGAGAGAAGACTGACTGGAAATGGGGGGGGAGATTAAGAGAGGTGGGAGAAGGGGGATGAGGGAGAGGGAGAAGGGAGGGGAGGGGGAGGGGGGGGAGAAGGGAGAGGGGGAGGGGGGAGAAGGGAGAGAGAGGGGAGAGGGGAGAGAGAGGGGAGAGGGGAGGGGGAGAAGAGGAGAAGGGAGGGGGAGGGGGAGGGGAGAAGGGAGAAGGGAGGGGGGAAGGAGGAGGAGAAGAGAGAGAAAGGGAAGGAGAGAGAGAGAGAAAGGGAGGGGAGAGAGAGAAAGGGAGGGGGAGAGAGAGAAAGGGAGAGGGGGAGAGAGAGAAGGGAGGGGGGGGGTTTGGTGGGGGGGGGGGGGGGGGGGGGGGGGGGTGGGTTGTTTGTACTTCCCACCACCATCCCCACCCAGGAAGGTTGCAGCGGCCCTCGAAGGGATGTGTATCACCACGTATTGCTCTGACTGGTATTCAAAGGCCTTCACAGACAAGGAGGAAACTTGAAGGTCCATCTCTGGATAATGTCTACAGAATCAACATAGAACCCCAAATTACTAAGGGGGACAAATTGGAGGTACTGGAACATTCTGAACTCACACAAGGTACATCATGCTGATTAAAGGTAATTTTTTGGGGGGGGGTTTCACTTGTATCTGGCTTTTGTACCCCAGTGCCCACTTCTTGTGCCAGACTGATGAGTTTCTAAATCTTTCCCCACTTAATTCAAATTAAAAAAAATAAATAAAATGACACGTTATCTAACTTAGAATACTGAGGTCCATTCACTAAGAGATAAATACTGCATGAAATTTGCCTTAAAATAATTCATAGCAAATACATCTCAAAAAATAGTCAAGTAAACCAAAAAAAAGTGTTAAGAAATGCTTAAATACGTATGTGTTTTGCGACTCCCCCATCCATCCATCCATCCATCCATGTCTCCATGCTTTATTTTGTTGAGAAGTCACTTTCAAAAACCACCCCCTAGTATTTTAAGCTGCAGCCATCTTGAGTAAGGGCAGATGATTGATGTAGCATTTACTCCCTGGAATCCACCTGCCCTTAGTTCTGGCATAAATGCAGGAGGGTGTGTTTAGATTAGAGAGCCCCTCCTCCAGATGAAAGGGAAAAAAAATGCCACAAACACTCCTGGGATGTAGAATATCATTTTGGCCGAAATAAACTGAAGAAATGTACAAAAAAAAAAAAAGTTTAAAGCAAGTAAATATATTATCTTCCTATCTATTTATTAATACTAGCAGCATAAGGATTAAAACTTCTTCCTGCCAATGTAAGGGGCATTCTTCCCGCCGGCCCCCAGTGTAAGGGGCATTCTTCCGCCGGCCCCCAGTGTAAGGGGCATTCTTCCCGCCGGCCCCCAGTGTAAGGGGCATTCTTCCCCCGCCGGCCCCCAGTGTAAAGGGGCATTCTTTCCCGCCGGCCGCCAAAGTAAAGGGCATTCTTCCCGGGCCCCCAGTGTAAGGGGCATTCTTCCCGCCGGCCCCCAGTGTAAGAGGCATTTCTTCCCGCTGGCCCCCAGTGTAAGAGGCATTCTTCCCGCCGGCCCCCAAAGTAAAGGGCATCTTCCCGCCGGCCCCAGTGTAAAGGGCATTCTTCCCGCCGGCCGCCAAAGTAAAGGGCATTCTTCCCGCCGGCCGCCAAGTGTAAAGGGCATTCTTCCCGCCGGCCCCCAGTGTAAAGGCATTCTTCCCGCCGGCCGCCAGTGTAAGGGGAATTATTCCCGCCGGCCGCCAATGTGTGTATATCAGGGGGCGGAATGACCATTTGGAAACTCGGGCACTGCCCGGGGTCAGTAGGGGGCCCCATGAGATGCCCCTGGTACCTTTTTCATAGGCTTTTTTGAGTTTGGGCAAGGACACAGGGGCCCCATGATCCCCTATTGCCCGGGGGCCCCATGAGTTGTCAGTCCACCCCTGGTATATATATATATACACATACACACACACTATAATTTTAGCCGTATTCAATATATATATATATATTTTGAACACGGCCAGAATTATGGTATTTCAAATATATGTCAATATATTTCGGAAGAATACTTTTAAAATATAAATGAAATATATTTTTCTTCCATGTGGGAAAGTTCAAATCTAACCTGAGAATGTATTCTTTTACTGAGAATAGTAGATGCGTGGAATGGACTTCAGGCAGAGGTAGCGAATCAGCCAACTGGCAATGGAATTTAAATGTGCTGCTTGGGACAACAATAGATCTATACGCAGACAAGGTTCAAATAAAATGGGCCCTCTGCAGACCCCTTGTTATTTTTGTTATTTTTGTTATTTTTCTGCTGTCACTCTTTCCTGCTTTTATAAAGAGATATTTCATTCTCTGTGCTGACACGGTTGGGTTGGACAGTCTCTGGTGGATTTCTCAGGATGAGCAAAACTGACAAGATTTCACTTCGAGGAAATTGCTGTGACCTTTACTGGAGCCAAAGTGGAGAAGGTGGTTTTAAGGCTGCAATGGTCTCGGAGGTTTATTTAGTTTTGTTTTTGATGTTCTAAGTTGTGTCTTCACTTTTTTTTTTCTTTTTCACTTTTTTTTTTTTTTTTTTTAATAGTTTGGCTTCTCTAGTCAGTGGTATGAAAACCCCAGGGCCATCCTAAAAGTTTTGTAAACACAGTTCTGAGTTTCAAAGTCATCCCAACCCTCCTAACAAAGCGTACTGCATTTAGAAACTCAGAATTTGAGTTTTGAAAGTCCGAATTCTGAATTTCAAACAACAGCCTGCCTGTCCTCCAATGGCTGAGGCTTCTGCCAATGCCCCCAAACAGCTCTTTCTCACCCTTTGCTGGCACGTCCCCTGCAGTCTCCTCCCCCCACCTCTCTAGACCCCGTATGCAGCTGAAAAACAAAGTTCATGTGATGTGATTCTTATAAAAAAAAAAAAAGTATTGGCCCCGCCCCCCAATCCTGTGATTTAGGTGTTCCAATCCCCTCCCAATCATGTGATTCAGGTGTTCCAATCCCCTCCCAATCATGTGATTCAGGTGTTCCAATCCCTTCCCAATCATGTGATTCAGGTGCCAATCCCCTCCATATCATGTGATTCAGGTGTTCCAATCCCCTCCATGGACACAGGTGTATACAATCAAGCCCCTAGGCATGCAGACGGCTTCTACAAACATTGGTGAAAGAATGGGTCGCTCTCAGGAGCTCAGTGACTCCAAGCGTGGTCCCGTGATAGGTGGCCACCTGGGCAATAAGTCCATCCGTGACATTTCCTGGCTACAACTAAAATATTCCACGCTCAACTGTTAGTGGGATTATAACAAAGTGGAAGCAACTGGGAACAACAGCCACTCAGCCACCAAGTGGTAGGCCACGTCACATGACAGGGCGGGGTCAGCGCATGCTGAAGCGCACAGTGCGCAGAAGTTACCACTGTCTGCAGAGTCAATAGCTAAAGACCTCCAAACTTGGTGTGTGGCCTTCAGATGAGCCCAACAACAGTGCATAGAGAGCTTCATGGAATGGGTTTCCATGGCCGAGCAGCTGCATCCAAGCCTTCCATCACCAAGTGCAATGCAAAGTGTCGGATGCCGTGGTGTAAAGCACGCCGCCACTGGACTTTAGAGCCGAGGAGATGTGTTCTCTGGAGTGACCAATCACGCTTCTCTGTCTGGCAATCTGATGGGTGTGTCTTGGTTTGGCGGTTGCCAGGAGAATAGTACATGCCTGACTGCATTGTGCTAAGTGTAAAGTTTGGTGGAGGGGGGATTATGGGGTGGGGGCATTTTTCAGGGGCTGGGCTTGGCCCCCTACCCTTTCCAGTAAAGGGAACTCTGAAGGCAAAATTTTGGACAATTTCATGCTCCCAACTTTTGGGAGGAGTTTGGGGATGGCCCCTTCCTGTTCCAACATGACTGCCCCCACAGTGCACAAAGCAAGGTCCATAAAGACATGGAGGAGCCAGTTTGGGGTGGAGGAACTTGACTGTCCTGCACAGAGTCCTGACCTCAACCCCATAGAACACCTTTGGGATGAATTAGGGCGGAGACTGCGAGCCAGGCCTCCTCCCCCGACATCAGTGCCTGACCTGACAAATGTGCTTCTGGAAGAATGGTCCAACCTTCCCATAGACACCCTCCTAAACCTTGTGGATGGCCTTCCCAGAAGAGTTGAAGCTGTTATAGCCGCAAAGGGCGGGGCCAACTCAATATTGAACCCTACGGACTAAGACTGGGGGGCCATTAAAGGTCATGTGCGTGGAAAGGGCGGGGCCAACTCAATATTGAACCCTACGGACTTAGACTGGGAGGCCATTAAAGGTCATGTACGTGGGAAGGCCGGCGGTCAATACTTTTGGCTATATGATGTATATCTACACACAAACCTTTTGCCTTTCATTTCCATTTTTCACTGAATAGGTTGTATTACAAGGTGAGGGTCTCCATATACCCACGTACTATAGCAGGTACTTACTGCCAGTGACACAGTCAAAGTCTTTTTCCGACAATTCAGTCAAGGTCCGCCCCTTTATTTTGCCGGCTTCCTCGCATGGCATTGGCAGCCAAGAGCAATGTTTTTCCCGGGTCCGTGTACCCAGTGCACCAGCCACTTGATTCGACAGTCGCAGTGTAAGGGGTTTTCACGCAGATCACTGCAGTAGAGGAGAGGGTTCAAAAAAACAAAAACAAATATATTTATAAATATTTTAATAAATATATATAATATTTTTTAAATATATTTATTTATATATTAAATAAAAAGGTATGTTGTATGTATATGAAGACCAAAACCACACATGCTCAGTGGCTAAATGCTTAGCACTTCCACCTGGCAGTACCAGGGTCACTGGTTTGAATCCCAACCATGGCGTCACCTGCCTGGAGTTTGCATGTTCTCCCTGTGCCTGCTTGGGTTTCCTCCGGGTACTCCGGTTTCCTCCCATGCTCCAAAGACATGCTGGTAGGTAAATTGGATCCTATCTAAATTGTGCCTAGTATGTGTATGTATGAATGTGAGTTAGGGACCAGGGGCGGACTGACCATTTGGAAACTCGGGCATTGCCTGAGGGCCCAGGGTCAGTAGGAGGCCCCATGAGATGCCCCTTGTACCTTTTTCATAGGCCTTTTTTGAGTTTGGGCAAGGACACAGGGGCCCCATGAGTTGTCTCCGCCCCTTGAGGGTTAGGGACTGATGTGAATATACAATATATATGTAAAGCGCGGCGTACATTGATGGCGCTATAGAAGTACCTGAAATAAATAAATTATGCTCAGAAACAAAAGAATACAATACAAAACCTGACATCTTTTCTGAAATTGTATACTGTCATATGAGAATTTTCATAACTTTAGTAACCTCCTCAATTTTGATATGTGGCTAACATGCAAAAAAAGATGGTCAATCGTTCGTCCGATATTCCCATTGTATGTACGAGGCCTAACGTCTGATCATCCCTGGATATTTTATACTTGTGCAAGTTCTCTACAGGAAATAAATCACTGCTTCATACTTACATGTGTTTTATGGCTGTCAGGGGCCGAAACAACCCACTAGGAAGAGACTCCAGATGATTATTAGCCAAGCTCCTATTGGGAAAAATTTAGGAAAAGCAAAAAGAAAACATAAAATTTGCCTCATCCGGGCAACATAAAACTTGACTAAGCTAGTTCAGGACAGAAAATGTCATTTATTGACAAATTCCAGACCATAGTGCTTGGAGCTATGAGAAGAATAAGTCTGTCTATTGGAAGTTTCAAATACACTTTATGGCCTAGCCTAAGCGGACCCCCTCCAAATGATGACAGGTTTCCCCAGGGAAGGGTACGGTTAATATCTTTTGTAGGTTGTAATATTATCGACAATTGTTGGCTTCCAACCTTGTGGTAATAGTTTTTTGTGTAGACCCTTTTCTGTTCCACCTGACTGACCCCTGTGTACAAAGCTAGCTCCATAACGACATGGTATGACCAGCTTGATGTGGAGGAACTGGAGTGTCCTTTACAGAGCCCTGACCTCAACCCTACTGAACACCTTTGGGATGAATTGGAATGCCAATTGTGAGCCAGGTCTTCTCATCTAACATCAGAACCTGACCTCACAAATGGGCACAATTTTCACAGACACTCTCCAAAATCTTAGAGACTGTCTTCCCAGGAGAGTGGAGGATGTTATAACAGCAAAGGTGGCTTAAGTCTATAAAGACATAGTTTGACCAGTTGGGTGTGGAGGAATTCAAGTGTCCTGGCATCAACCGTACTGAACACCTTTGGGATGAATTGGAAGACCGATGGTGATCCAGGTCTTCTCATCCAACATCAGTACCTGACCTCACAAATGGGCACAAATTCCCAAAGACATCGTACAGAATCTTATGGACAGTCTTCCCAGAAGAGTGGAAGATGTTATAGCCACAAAGGTGGTCTAAGTCTATAAAGACATGGTTTGACCAGTTGGGTGTGGAGGAAGTCAAGTGTCCTGGCATCAACCGTACTGAACTGTTCCACCTGACTGACCTCTGTGTACAAAGCCAGCTCCATAACGACATGGTATGACCAGCTTGATGTGGAGGAACCGGAGTGTCCTTTACAGAGCCCTGACCTCAACTCTACTGAACACCTTTGGGATGAATTGGAATGCCAATTGTGAGCCAGGTCTTCTCATTCAACATCAGTACCTGACCTCACAAATGGACACAAATTCCCACAGACACCATACCAAATCTTATGGACAGTCTTCTCAGACCACCTTTGTGGCTATAACATCCTCCACTCTTCTGAGAAGACTGTCCATAAGATTTGGTATGGTGTCTGTGGGAATTTGTGCCCATTTGTGAGGTCAGGTACTGAAGTTGAATGAGAAGACCTGGCTCACATCTGGCATTCCAATTCATCCCAAAGGTGTTCAATAGGGTTGAGGTCAGGGCTCTGTAAAGGACACTCCAGTTCCTCCACATCAAGCTAGTCACACCATGTCGGTATGAAGCTTGCTTTGTACACAGGGGTCAGTCAGGTGCAACGGTTCAGTATGGTTGATGCCAGAACACTTGACTTCCTCCACACCCAACTGGTCAAACCATGTCTTTATAGACTTAGACCACCTTTGTGGCTATAACATCTTCCAGTCTTCTGGGAAGACTGTCCATAAGATTTTGTACGGTGTCTTTGGGAATGTGTGCCCATTTGTGAGGTCAGGTACTGATGTTGGATGAGAAGACCTGGATCACCATCGGTCTTCCAATTCATCCCAAAGGTGTTCAGTACGGTTGATGCCAGGACACTTGAGTTCCTATATATCCAACTGGTCAAACCATGTCTTTATAGACTTAGGAGAGTGGAGGATGTTATAGCCACAAAGGTGGTCTAAGTCTATAAAGACATGGTTTGACCAGTTGGATGTATAGGAACTCAAGTGTCCTGGCATCAACTGTACTGAACACATTTGGGATTAAGTGGAATGGCAATTGTGAGCCAGGTCTTCTCATCCAATGTCAGAACCTGACCTCACAAATGGACACAATTTTCACAGACACTCTCCTAAATCTTATGAACAGTCTTCCCAGGAGGCTGGAGGATGTTAAAAGTGCAAAGGTGGTTAAGTCTATAAAGAAATGGTTTGACCAGTTGGGTGTGGAGGAAGTCAAGTGTCCTGGCATCAACCGTACTGAACACCTTTGGGATGAATTGGAAGACTGATGGTGATCCAGGTCTTCTCAACCAACATCAGTATCTAACCTCACAAATGGGCACAATTCCCACACACACTCTAAAATCTTGAGAAAAAGTTTCCCAGGAGTTAGCTCCAAAAGGACATAGTTTCTAAAAGATGGAACAACTCTTGATCTCAAGCATCCTGCTGTGACCTCAACTCTTCTAAACACTTTTGGAACACATTGGAATGCTTAAGGCGGGCCAGGTGTTCTCATCCAACATCAGTACTTGACCTAAAAAATGGACTCAAATTCCTACAGACACCCTCCAAAATCTTGTGGAAAGTCTTCCCAGGAGTGAGCTCCATAAAGGCATAGTTTGTCCAGATTATGTGGAGCAACTTGTGGTCTTGAGGGTCCTGCACAGAGCCCTGACCTTAACCCTACTGAACACCTTTGGGATGAATTGAGATGCCAATTGTGGGCCAGGTCTTCACAACATCCATACCTGACCTCACAAATGGACACAAAATGCCATAGACACCCCCTAAGATCATGTGGAAAGTCTTCCCAGAAGAGCTGGAACTCCATATTAATGACTATGTTGTTGGAATAGGATGTCCAAACTCTCATATAGTTGTGATGGCCAAGTGCCCACAAACCATTGACCACGCACTGTATATATTTACTAATGTACTTACAAGTGGACCAGAGACCGCAGTCCATGAAACGCATTTCTAGAGATTGATTTGATACTGTTGTTTTCGATAAACCTAAAAAAAAAGTAAATAAAAACATTTCACTGAAATCTAAAAAATTGATTGCACATTCTTCGGAACCTTGTTAGTATTCTAGCTAACGGCTTCATGTAGGAAATAGTCTAGGTCAGCCTGAGGGGATTTTACGGATGAGCAAAACAGAGTTTTAATTTTCTCAAAATTGTGACAAAAATTGGGCAATTTTGCAAAAAAAAAAAAAGAAAACTTTAAATGTATCAGTGAGAAAGGGAAATTAGGGTGGCTTTATGGTGCAATGGGCTTTAAATGTCACCCTGGTGGTGGCCATGCAGAGACCATGTCCTGCCCCTTCTGCTCCCCTAGAAGAGCCAGACGGCTTCGTAGTCATGAGCTCAGACTGTAACCTGGTCCACATAGCCTTCCCCACTCCTACCTCCGCTCTGATTTTGTACAACGCGTCGTCTACTGTCGGCTCCACTTACAAATATTCCAAATGCTTCAGTTTTGAAAAGGCGTCATCTGCGATCACATCGAAGGAGCAGGAGGTGAACAACCTGCAAAGAGGGAGATCTGAGACATGAGATTATGAAAGTACCCAGAGAGTATGGACTAGAGAATATCATCAGCAGAACGTACCAATACGAGATGTTCGATGTAACTCTACAGGTGAAAAATGACATATACATAGTTCCATCCAGGGGCGGACTGACCATTTGGAAACTCAGGCACTGCCCAAGGGCCCGGGGTCCGTAGGGGGCCCCATGAGATGTCCCTGGTACCTTTTTCACAGGCTTTTTTGAGTTTGGGCAAGGACACAGGGCCCCCCATGATCCCCTAGTGCCCGGGGGCCCAATGAGTTGTCAGTCCGCCCCTGGTTACATAGTTAGTCTGGCTGAAAAAAGATAAAAGTCCATCCAGTTCAACCATTGACAAAAAAAAAAAAAAAAATTATAATCCTACACCCACAGTTGATCCAGAGGAAGGCAAACCCCCCCCCCCCCCCCCCCCCATAGAATATCATCAGCTGAGTGTACCATCAAGAGATGTTCGATGTAACTCTGTATATGTCATTTTTCACCTGTAGAGTTACATCGAACATCTCTTCTTGGTACACTCTGCTGATGATATTCTATGTGGGTTTTTTTTTTACCTTCCTCTGGATCAACTGTGGGTGTAGGATTATAACTTTTATCTTTAATGATTGAACTGGATGGACTTTTGTCTTTTTTTTAGCCAGACTAACTATGTAACTATGTATATGTCATTTTTCACCTGTAGTTAGCCTGGCTCAAAAAAAGACAAAAGTCCATCCAGTTAAAAAAAAAAAAAAAAAAAAAAAAGTTATAATCCTACACCCACAGGTGATCCAGAGGAAGGCAAAAAAAGCCCCCATAGAATATCAACAGCTGAGTGTACCAAAAAGAGATGTTCGATGCAACTCTACAGGTGAAAAATGACATATACATAGTTACATAGTTAGTCTGGCTGAAAAAAAGACAAAAGTCCATCCAGTTCAACCATTAAAAAGATATAATCCTACACCCACAGTTGATCCAGAGGAAGGCAAAAAAAAAAATCCCAGCAAAGCACGATCCAATTTGCTCCTGCTGGGAAAAAATTCCTTCCTGACCCCCCGAGAGGCAATCGGATATTCCCTGGATCTACTTTCCCTATAAATGTTATATCCAGTTATATTCTGTGTATCCAAGAAAGAATCCAGGACTTTCCTACAGCAATCCACTGAGCTGGCCACAACCAACTCTGGAGGAAGTCTATTCCACATTCTCACAGCTCTGACCATGAAGAACCCTTTCTGTGTTTGGAGATTACATTTCTTTTCCTCCAGACGTAAAGAGCGCCCCCTTGTCCTCTGTGATGTCCTCTACACCAAGTTCACTATATGAACCACTGACATAGAATTGGTTCATTTTGTGCTGCAATACAATGAGCAGGTGATTGGTGTGAATGGACATCTATGGACGGGGAACAGGACCTTATACCAGACAGATACACGCAGTTACCCCTGAAGAAGGAGCTACAGCCTCCGAAACGCGTCGGGTACACGCTGAGTCTCTGTAAACATGTGAAATTCCTTTATATTGTAAATATGTTATGTAACAACACTGCATGGATACATTGAAATTTACAATGTGTTACAATTTGTAAGATATAATTATAATAAAGAACATTTGTGATTTTGAAGACCCATAAAAATGGGAGGAATTTTGTTGTGTATAATGCAGTACAATGAGCAGGTGATTGGTGTGCATGGAGGTCTATGGACGGGGACACACCCCTATACCAGACAGATAGTACACTGGACAGAGGAAGGAGCAGAGAATTTCAGGAGAGGAGAGTTATAGAGGAAGGAGCGGAGTCCTCCAGCAGTGCAGAGTATTTCAGGAGAGGAGAGTTATAGAGGAAGGAGCGGAGTCCTCCAGCAGTGCAGAGTATTTCAGGAGAGGAGTTATAGAGGAAGGAGCGGAGTCCTCCAGCAGCGCAGAGTATTTCAGGAGAGGAGAGTTATAGAGGAAGGAGCGGAGTCCTCCGGCAGCGCAGAGTATTTCAGGAGAGGAGAGTTACAGAGGAAGGAGCGGAGTCCTCCAGCAGCGCAGAGTATTTCAGGAGAGGAGTTATAGAGGAAGGAGAGGAGTCCTCCAGCAGTGCAGAGTATTTCAGGAGAGGAGTAATAGAGGAAGGAGCGGAGTCCTCCAGCAGCGCAGAGTATTTCAGGAGAGGAGAGTTATAGAGGAAGGAGAGGAGTCCTCCAGCAGCGCAGAGTATTTCAGGAGAGGAGAGTTACAGAGGAAGGAGCGGAGTCCTCCAGCAGCGCAGAGTATTTCAGGAGAGGAGTTACAGAGGAAGGAGCGGAGTCCTCCAGCAGCGCAGAGTATTTCAGGAGAGGAGAGTTACAGAGGAAGGAGCGGAGTCCTCCAGCAGAGCAGAGTATTTCAGGAGAGGAGTTATAGAGGAAGGAGCGGAGTCCTCCGGCAGAGCAGAGTATTTCAGGAGAGGAGTTATAGAGGAAGGAGCGGAGTCCTCCAGCAGCGCAGAGTATTTCAGGAGAGGAGTTACAGAGGAAGGAGCGGAGTCCTCCAGCAGCGCAGAGTATTTCAGGAGAGGAGTTACAGAGGAAGGAGCGGAGTCCTCCAGCAGCGCAGAGTATTTCAGGAGAGGAGAGTTACAGAGGAAGGAGCGGAGTCCTCCAGCAGTGCAGAGTATTTCAGGAGAGGAGTTATAGAGGAAGGAGTGGAGTCCTCCAGCAGTGCAGAGTATTTCAGGAGAGGAGAGTTATAGAGGAAGGAGCGGAGTCCTCCAGCAGTGCAGAGTATTTCAGGAGAGGAGAGTTATAGAGGAAGGAGCGGAGTCCTCCAGCAGTGCAGAGTATTTCAGGAGAGGAGAGTTATAGAGGAAGGAGCGGAGTCCTCCAGCAGCGCAGAGTATTTCAGGAGAGGAGAGTTATAGAGGAAGGAGCGGAGTCCTCCAGCAGCGCAGAGTATTTCAGGAGAGGAGAGTTACAGAGGAAGGAGCGGAGTGCTTCTTTTTATTTTCCATTCTTCGTAAACCCAACAAAGTTTGGATAAAATATGTCAAAAAGTACAAAAAAGTTATGAAAGCAATGTCTCTTCTACTGAATAATAAATGCATTTAAAAAATTAATATCCTCCAAACTATCACACAAATTAAAAGCACATTTCGTACTTTGGCTTATTACAAAAATCATTAAAAACCCATTTATATGTAACAGGAAAACGAACACCGCAATACGGGAGAGAAGATTGGAAGACGTTGTGACGAACGAGGAATTAGACGCTTACTAATTAGTCCTGATGGTAGTAATAATACTTACAGGATCTGCATCGTCTGCGAAGGGGCAAAGCTGTCAGAGGGGATGCTGGTGAAGCCGCATCTGAGGAACGAGCTGAAATAAAACAGAATGAGAGCCGATGATGAATGGATCGGGGCCACCGACCTGGGGGAGGACTCCGCACACAGACATTGTAATGTGGTTAACGAACAAAACATCAACCGCAGATATGAAAGAGAAATAATAGTACCGTGTATGGGATCTGGATATTAAAAGAATGTTTACCATTTATAATATATATATATATATATATATATATATATTATAAATCATGAACATTCTTTAATATCCAGATCCCAGACACGGTACTATTTATAATATACAAATATATATACATACACACTATATTGCCCCAAGTATTGGTTGGTCCCTACCTTTCCACGCACATGACCTTTAATGGCCCCCCAGTCTTAGTCCGTAGGGTTCAATATTGAGTTGGCCCCGCCCTTTCCACGCACATGACCTTTAATGGCCCCCCCAGTCTTAGTCCGTAGGGTTCAATATTGAGTTGGCCCCGCCCTTTCTTCACACATGACCTTTAATGGCCCCCCAGTCTTAGTCCGTAGGGTTCAATATTGAGTTGGCCCTGCCCTTTCCACGCACATGACCTTTAATGGCCCTCTAGTCTTAGTTCGTAGGGTTCAATATTGAGTTGGCCCCGCCCTTTCCACACACATGACCTTTAATGGCCCCCCCAGTCTTAGTCCGTAGGGTTCAATATTGAGTTGGCCCGCCCTTTCCACGTACATGACCTTTAATGGCCCCCCAGTCTTAGTCCGTAGGGTTCAATATTGAGTTGGCCCGCCCTTTCCACGTACATGACCTTTAATGGCCTCCCAGTCTAAGTCCGTAGGGTTCAATATTGAGTTGGCCCCGCCCTTTCCACGCACATGACCTTTAATGGCCCCCAGTCTTAGTCCGTAGGGTTCAATATTGAGTTGGCTCCGCCCTTTGCAGCTATAACAGCTTCAACTCTTCTGGGAAGGCCGTCCACAAGGTTTAGGAGGGTGTCTATGGGAAGGTTGGACCATTCTTCCAGAAGCACATTTGTCAGGTCAGGCACTGATGTCGGGGGAGGAGGCCTGGCTCGCAGTCTCCGCTCTAATTCATCCCAAAGGTGTTCTATTGGGTTGAGGTTAGGACTCTGTGCAGGACAGTCAAGTTCCTCCACCCCAAACTGGCTCCTCCATGTCTTTATGGACCTTGCTTTGTGCACTGGGGGGCAGTCATGTTGGAACAGGAAGGAGCCATCCCCAAACTCCTCCCACAAAGTTGGGAGCATGAAATTGTCCAAAATTTTGCCTTCAGAGTTCCCTTCACTGGAACTAGGGGGCCAAGCCCAACCCCTGAAAAACAACCCCAAAACATAATCCCCCTCCACCAAACTTTACACTGGGCACAATGCAGTCAGGCAAGTACCATTCTCCTAACCACCGCCAAACCCAGGCATGTCCATCAGATGGCCAGACAGAGAAGTGTGATTGGTCAATCCAGAGAACACCCCTCCCCCCACTGCTCTAGAGTCCAGTGGCGGCGTGCTTTACACCACGGCATCCGACGCTTTGCATTGCACTTGGTGATGGAAGGCTTGGATGCAGCTGCTCGGCCATGGAAACCCATTCCATGAAGCTCTCTACACACTGTTGTTGGGCTCATCTGAAGGCCACACCAAGTTTGGAGGTCTTTAGCTATTGACTCTGCAGACAGTTGGCGACTTCTGCGCACTGTGTGCTTCAGCATGCGCTGACCCCGCCCTGTCATGTGACGTGGCCTACCACTTGGTGGCTGAGTGGCTGTTGTTCCCAGTGGCTTCCACTTTGTTATAATCCCACTAACAGCTGAGTGGAATATTTAGTAGCCGGGAAATGTCACGGATGGACTTATTGCCCAGGTGGCCACCTATCACGGGACCACGCTTGGAGTCACTGAGCTCCTGAGAGCGACCCATTCTTTCACCAATGTTTGTGTAGAAGCCGTCTGCATGCCTAGGGGATGGATTGTATACACCTTTGTCCATGGAGGGGATTGGAGCAGCTGAATCACATGATATGGAGGGGATTGGAGCACCTGAATCACATGATTGGGAGGGGATTGGAACACCTGAATCACATGATTGGGAGGGGATTGGAACACCTGAATCACATGATATGGAGGGGATTGGAACACCTGAATCACATGATATGGAGGGGATTGGAGCACCTAAACCACATGATTGGGAGGGGATTGGAACACCTGAATCACATGATATGGAGGGCAGGGACAATACTTTGGGCAATATAGTGTATATACACACACATATATATATATATAGCTGCCAATAGGGGAGTAAAAGCACTACTCGTATAATCAAAAAAATATTAATAATAATAATAAAAAAAATATATATATATATATTTTTTTAATATTATTTTAGAGGATTTATACAGTTTGCTCAGCGCTTTACAATATAACGGGAGACAATACAGTTCAATACAAGAGGGTTAGGCGCGCCCTGATCCTGGGAGCTTACAATCTAAGATTTATACAGTATGGCAGGAAAATTGTATATCTTGACTGAAAATAATGTGATTTCCGATTAAATTTCCGATTTACTGTACAAAGAATATCTCCGTCTTTCAGCTGAACTCCAGGCGGGTATAAAACAAACAAATGAATGCAGCTCTGTGATCATTAATTCATCAAATGTATTTTCAGTGTAAGTACCAGAATTCTGCTTGGTATTGACCTGTTTTAGTCCCTCTACAGCAGAGCTCAAACTTGGGAAGGGAGAACCAGCACAAGGAGTGCAATGATCATGCTGATAGGAGAAGAGAGCAGAGAGAGGAGCCCATCAGTCTGCTCCTTCTCCTTTCGCTGCCCATCACAGGCCTGTTTTAGTCCCTCTACAGCAGAGCTCAGACTTGGGAAGGGGAGAACCAGCACAAGGAGTGCAATGATCATGCGGATAGGAGAAGAGAGCAGAGAAGGAGCCCATCAGTCTGCTCCTTCTCCTTTCGCTGGCCAATCACAGGCCTCTACAGCAGAGCTCAGACTTGGGAAGGGAGAACCAGCACAAGGAGTGCAATGATCATGCTGATAGGAGAAGAGAGCAGAGAGAGGAGCCCATCAGTCTGCTCCTTCTCCTTTCGCTGCCCAATCACAGGCCTGTTTTAGTCCCTCTACAGCAGAGCTCAGACTTGGGAAGGGAGAACCAGCACAAGGAGTGCAATGATCATGCGGATAGGAGAAGAGAGCAGAGAGAGGAGCCCATCAGTCTGCTCCTTCTCCTTTCGCTGGCCAATCACAGGCCTCTACAGCAGAGCTCAGACTTGGGAAGGGAGAACCAGCACAAGGAGTGCAATGATCATGCTGATAGGAGAAGAGAGCAGAGAGAGGAGCCCATCAGTCTGCTCCTTCTCCTTTCGCTGCCCAATCACAGGCCTGTTTTAGTCCCTCTACAACAGAGCTTAGACTTGGGAAGGGAGAACCAGCACAAGGAGTGCAATGATCATGCTGATAGAAGAGAGCAGAGAGAGGAGCTCATCAGTCTGCTCCTTCTCCTTTCGCTGTCCAATCACAGGCCTCTACAGCAGAGCTCAGACTTGGGAAGGGAGAACCAGCACAAGGAGTGCAATGATCATGCTGATAGGAGAAGAGAGCAGAGAGAGGAGCCCATCAGTCTGCTCCTTTTCCTTTCGCTGTCCAATCACAGGCCTGTTTTAGTCTCTCTACAGCAGAGCTCAGACTTGGGAAGGGAGAACCAGCACAAGGAGTGCAATGATCATGCGGAGAGGAGAAGAGAGCAGAGAGAGGAGCCCATCGGTCTGCTCCTTCTCCTTTTGCTGTCACAGGCCTGTTTGAGTCTACACAGGCCTGACTTGGGAAGGGAGAACCCACTCAATACATGGCAGAGCTCAGACTTGGGAAGAGAACCAGCACAGGAGTGCAATGATCATGCGGATAGGAGAAGAGAGCAGAGAGAGGAGCTCATCAGTCTGCTGCTTCTGCTTTCGCTGTCCAATCACAGGCTGGAGGAGGGATAAGACCTGTAAGCAGTACTGAACTGCAGCAGAGCAATATCCGGTCCCCTGTCCTGCCAGGTAGGGCTGCGCTGTGTGTGACAGAGCTGTGCAAATCTCAGGGCTGGATGGATAGAAATACAAATCCTTTGGCAGATACAACCATTCCCTGCTATGTATTGATCCGTGTATTCGGACTGTTTCCCCGCAGTTCCCTTTGAATCCTAGCTGCCCATCCCATTCTTTTCAATCAACAAAAAAAATATGGAACAGCAAAGTGACAATGCGAGTCGATTCAACAGTTTCTTTGCAGGAAATGCTCATAGCAATCAGTAAGTGGACTTTTCTTCATCTCCATGTAACAAAGGCGCATTTGTTCTGGGGGGGGGGGGGGCTTTGGTCATGTGACCTTGAAGTATATAATATATACGTAATGAGCAAATTCCGGATCATTCTGCAGTTTTCAGAAAAGAAATGATCTGTTTTTCCGAGCCGAGCGTCTGATGATCCGACGCGATATCTTACAACGATGATATTTACCTCCGCCTTTCTATAAAAAAAATGTAGATTCTTCCCTTTTTTTTTTGGAATTGTCTTCGGTTTTGTTCTTAGCGTTGCCATGGTAACCGGAGTGCGGGGATCGGGTTCCGTCTCTTTGAAGTGATGGCGTTTGTCTAATTCCATTGTCTATGGGAGAAAAAAAGGCGATTCACCCACTTGTCTGCGGAGCGCGCATCGCGGCAGAACGAACGCAGAGGATACAGATTGTACTGCGCTGCTGCAGATGTGGTGCAATGCTTCTACCCAGCCCAGGGCGAAGGTGCCAAACTGCACCCCCCCCCCCCCCAAAACGTATGAGTATTATGTGTTGACGAAGATCCCCTCCCTCCCCCCCCAATAAAATGTGAGCACTAATCTTCACACTTAACTAACCCCTAGGCACAAATTCCCTTTCAAGCCAAAATTCTCATCAAACAATAATCCCCCCTCCCGGTTCAAATCCGCTCCCTCCCCATATTCCCCCCTCCCAGCTCAAATGCACTCCCTCTCCAAATCCCCCCTCCCGGCTCAAATCCGCTCCCCTCTCCAAATCCCCCCTCCAACCTCAAATGTGCTCCCTCCCCACATCCCTCCTCCCTCCCGGCTCAAATCCGCTACCTCCCCAAATCCCCCTCCCAGCTCAAATCCTCCCCCTCCAGGCTCAAATGCGCTCCCTCCCCAAATCCCCCCTCCCAGGTGAAATTCGGTCCCTCCCCAAATCCCCCTCCAGGCTCAAATCCGCTCCCTCCCAAATCCCCCCTCCAGGCTCAAATGCGCTCCCTCCCCACATCCCCCCTCTCCCGGCTCAAATCCACTACCTCCCCAAATCCCCCCTCCTGGCTCAAATCCACTACCTCCCCAAATCCCCTCTCCCAGCTAGAATCCTCCCCCTCCAGGCTCAAATGCGCTCCCTCCCCAAATCCCCCCCTCCCCTCAAATCCGCTACCCTCCCCAAATCCTCCCTCCATGGCTCAAATCCGCTCCCTCCCCAAATCCCCCCTCCCAGCTTAAATCCTCTTCCTTCCCAAATCCCCCCTCCCGGCTCAAATGACCCCCTCCCCAAATCCCCCCTCCAGGCTCAAATCCGCTCCCCTCCCAAATCCCCCCTCCAGGCCAAATGCGCTCCCCCCACATCCCCCCTCCCGGCTCAAATCCACTACCTCCCCAAATCCCCCCTCCTGGCTCAAATCCACTACCTCCCCAAATCCCCTCTCCCAGCTAGAATCCTCCCCCTCCAGGCTCAAATGCGCTCCCTCCCCCAAATACCCCCCTCCCGGCTCAAATCCGCTACCTCCCCAAATCCTCCCTCCTGGCTCAAATCCGCTCCTTCCCCAAAATCCCCCCCCAGCTTAAATCCTCTTCCTTCCCAAATCCCCCCTCCCGGCTACCAAATGACCCCTCCCCAAATCCCCCACCCGGCTCAAATGCGCTCCTTCCCTAAATCCCCCTTCCTAGCCCAAATACTCTACCCCTGAAATTTCCCATCTGAGAATTAATCTTCTCTCCCCTCCAAATCCCCCTCTCCCAGCAGACTCCCCCCCCCAAATTCCCTCTCCTAACACTAATATCCCCTCCCCCCAAAAAAAGAGCTCTAATGTTCACACCCCCAAGCTCTCCCAGCTCAAATCCACTCCCTCCCCAAATCCCCCCTCCTAGAACAAATCCTTTACCTCAAATTTCCACTGTGAGCATTAATCCTCTCCCCCCTCGAATGCCCCCCTACCCGCCAAAATTTCCTCCCCCAATCCTCTCTCCTAGCACTAATGCCCCCCCCCCCCTTACAAAAAGAAGTGCACTAATTTTCACACTTACCCCTAAGCATAAATTCCTTTCAAGCCAAAATTCTCCGCAAACAAAACATCCCCCTCTTCCAGTACAGATCCCCCCTCCCAGCTCCAATCCTTTCCCTCCTCAAACCCCCCGTAGTAGCACAACCCCCATCACCACTCAAATCCCCCTTCCCAACAAAAATCCCCCTACAAATCACCCCTTTTAGCACAATCCCCCAAACCTCCACTGAGCCCACTGAGCCCAGGGCAGCCGCCCCACCGGCCCACCCTTTGTCCCGGCCCTGGTTGCAGCACCTGAAGCCCCGGCTGACATCTATGCATGCGCAGGTGTGTTTTTACGCATGTTGGGCTGTTCATTCATTTCAACGGACCACCCTACCCACTAGAAACAGGGGGGGGGGGAGAAGTCCCCGACCCTTTTTGTAACATTGCATCACACTGCCACACCGCCATGAAAAACGCATGCGGTCGCCGGTGCCATTAAGAAGGAATGAGCAGCGCGTTTTTCTGCGCGTTGAGAAAATACGCAGTTTTGCGCGCGCTCCCGACACACATAAATGCTTTATCCAAAAGGTTGGCAAAGAATGCTTGAAACAGTCACATTGCTACATTATATTCCTTTGAATAAAACCTTAAAGGGTAACTCCGCTTTGGTTGAGGAAAAAAAAACCCCTCCCCCCCTCCGGGTGATCGACGCACATCGCAGGGATTACAGCAAACTTTGTAGCAGATTCCTACCTTTTGCTATTTGTAGAAATCGCTGTTTGTTTCTCTGTGTCCATGTGCAATGTGAATGGGAGGGGCTTTGTAATCAGCTGCTGCACCTGCAGGACTCTAATGAGGAAAGCGGCGGGGTCTGCATCCCTTCAGACATGATTACCCTTTGGGAGCATCTCAGCAACAAAAAAAAAAAAAAAAATCACATTTTTGTTGCAGGGGATGCCCACAATCTGACTTGTATCCAGGGGTGGACTGACCATTTGGAAACTCAGGCTAGCATTTCCTCAGTCTCCCCCCTAGTGATCAAACTGTACATTTGTAGCAAGTCTCAAGGTGAGAATGACTTCTTGACATGTCTCGGTAGGCACAGACCTCCGTTCCAATGGAAACGTCCATTGGACTCTCCAGTTGGCTCCTCTCCTTGGGGGGATCATAATGGCCAGAGGTGTAACTCCACACCGCAGGGGCGGACTGACCATTTGGAGGGCCCGGGGTCAGTAGGGGCCCCATGAGATGCCCCTGGTACTTTTCATAGGCTGTTTTGGGTGTGGTCAGTGGCGGACTGACATTTGGAAACTCGGGCACTCCGGGCAATAGGGGATCATGGGGCCCCTGTGTCCTTGCCCAAACTCAAAAAAGCCTATGAAAAAGGTACCAGGGGCATCTCATGGGGCCCCCTACTGACCCCGGGCCCTCGGGCAGTGCCTGAGCTTCCAAATGGTCAGTCCACCCCTGGGCGCAGCACTTGCCACCATCCACCTGGAAAGCGATCTATGGTGGATCGCATTTTCAGAGAGGGGTAGAGTTGCGGCCACCAGCCATCAAGGAGATACTGCCCCCCTTTTGTCAGCCGAAGGCTGAAATACTGTGGCCCAGCCACAAGCCAAGCATTTGCGCAGTGCAGCAAGGCCCCAGTCACTTGACCAGGGGCGGACTGACAAACTCATGGGGCCCCCGGGCAATAGGGGATCATGGGGCCCCTATGTCCTTGCCCAAACTCAAAAAAGCCTATGAAAAAGGTACCAGGGGCATCTCATGGGGCCCCCTATTGACCCCGGGCCCTCGGGCAGTGCCCGAGTTTCCAAATGGTCAGTCCGCCCCTGGACTTGACTGAGTCACCTCGGTAGCCATACTGCCTGCCAAATGCATCCTGTTGTATGGGTTTTGCTTTGCTGCAACCTCCTTAGCGTGTATTAACATGACAGCTGGCCATGGTAACCTTCGGCTCGGTTGTCGGGGATCATAAGACTGCAGATCAGCCACCTATTTTTACTACCACTCTTGTCAACGAGAAGCAACCAGATACTGAGATCCTTAATATTGATATTAACAACGATAACAGCTGAACTTTCTCTTACGTTGAGATGATGTCCGCCGAGTACGTGCTCGGTATGTCGTGGGTTCCGTCGCACAGGACGTTGTCGGTGGTGCAGTTGCAGGACGCCGGGCACCTCCATCTTGGCGGACGTCGCGGTGGTCTGGTCCAGCTCGATGGAAGGAGACAGAAGAATACGACGGTCCAAACTGACAGGCGGAGGGGCGACCCCATCGAGACCATTGAGAAAGTTTGGGAAATGATTTACGACCTCTGCTGCGCTCAAGGCGTCATATTAACCGACGCATCCTCCTTTCCTAAAGTCCGGTGTGGTCGGCCATTGTGGTCCTCTCCCCGTCCCCCTTGATTCCAGTCACATCCCTGATCTGGTCGATTCCTCCAGTATTGGCCACCTACACATCCATATTACTCCTCCTTCGCGATTCCTCAGGTCTGAGTTTTTGGCAAAAATTATTTTCCATTCTAAAAAATAAATAAATAAATAAAGATTAATGTGAAGAATTAGCCCGTTGGGTTGCCATTCCTTTTGAACAGCACCAATGGAAATGTGGCTATAGTAAGTCAATGACGTCCCAGCATCCAACGGCCATGTGGCTATAGTAAGTCAATGATGTCCCCAGCATCCAACGGCCATGTGGCTATAGTAAGTCAATGATGTCCCCAGCATCCAATGTCATGTGGCTATAGTAAGTCAATGATGTCCCCAACATCCAACGGCCATGTGGCTATAGTAAGTCAATGATGTCCCCAGCATCCAATGGCCATGTGGCTATAGTAAGTCAATGATGTCCCCAGCGTCCAATGGCCATGTGACTATAGTAAGTCAATGACGTCCCTAACATCCAATGGCAAAGTGGCTATAGTAAGTCAATGATTTACCCAACATCCAATGGCCAAACAGCTGTAGTAAGTTAATGACATCCCCAACATCCAATGGCCATGTGGCTATAGTAAGTCAATGATGTCCCCAACATCCAACGGCCATGTGGCTATAGTAAGTCAATGATGTCCCCAACATCCAACGGCCATGTGGTTATAGTAAGTCAATGATGTCCCCAACATCCAACGGCCATGGCTATAGTAAGTCAATGATGTCCCCAACATCCAACGGCCATGTGGCTATAGTAAGTCAATGATGTCCCCAGCATCCAATGGACATGTGGCTATAGTAAGTCAATGATGTCCCCAACATCCAATGGCCATGTGGCTATAGTAAGTCAATGATGTCCCCAACATCCAATGGCCATGTGGCTATAGTAAGTCAATGATGTCCCCAACATCCAATGGCCATGTGGCTATAGTAAGTCAATGAGTCCAACGGCCATGTGGCTATAGTAAGTCAATGATGTCCCCAACATCCAAGCATGTGGCCAATGATGTCCCCAACATCCAACGGCCATGTGGCTATAGTAAGTCAATGATGTCCCCAACATCCAATGGCCAACAGCTATAGTAAGTCAATGATGTCCCCAACATCCAATGGCCATGTGGCTATAGTAAGTCAATGATGTCCCCAACATCCAATGGCCATGTGGCTATAGTAAGTCAATGATGTCCCCAGCATCCAATGGCCATGTGGCTATAGTAGTCAATGATGTCCAATGGCCATGTGACTATAGTAAGTCAATGACGTCCCCAACATCCAATGGCATGTGGCTATAGTAAGTCAATGATTTACCCACATCCAATGGCCAAACAGCTGTAGTAAGTTAATGACATCCCCAACATCCAATGGCCATGTGGCTATAGTAAGTCAATGATGTCCCCAACATCCAACGGCCATGTGGCTATAGTAAGTCAATCAATGATGTCCCCAACATCCAACGGCCATAGTAAGTCAATGATGTCCCCAACATCCAATACATGTGGCTATAGTAAGTCAATGATGTCCCCAACATCCAATGGCCATGTGGCTATAGTAAGTCAATGATGTCCCCAACATCCAATGGCCATGTGGCTATAGTAAGTCAATGATGTCCCCAACATCCAATGGCCATGTGGCTATAGTAAGTCAATGATGTCCCCAACATCCAATGGCCATGTGGCTATAGTAAGTCAATGATGTCCCCAACATCCAACGGCCATGTGGCTATAGTAAGTCAATGATGTCCCCAACATCCAACGGCCATGTGGCTATAGTAAGTCAATGATGTCCCCAACATCCAATGGCCAAACAGCTATAGTAAGTTAATGACATCTCCAACATCCAATGTACATGCAGCTGTAGTAAGTCAATAATGTCCCCAACATCCAATGGCCAAACAGCTACAGTAAGTTAATGATGTCCCCAAAATCCAATGGCCATGTGGCTATAGTAAGTCAGTCAATGATGTCCCCAGCATCCAATGGCTAAACAGCTACAGTAAGTTAATGACATCCCCAACATCCAATGGCCAAGCGGCCATAGTAAGTCAATGACGTCCCCAACATCCCTTCCCCCTTTGTTGCATGCTGCTGCACAGCGGGGATGTTGGGGACGTCACTGACTTACTATAGCCACGTGGCCATTTTTTGTATTTCACGTGCCTTGACGGCCTTTCCATAACACAATGTACTTTAACGCACAAACATTAACGCAATGCACCAGGAAGCCAAGGGGTGGCTGGGCTTTCAGTTGGACCGCCTAAAATGGGTCTAAGTTGGATCAGTCTTGCTGGTCTTCAGAGCTCTGTGACCACCCTGTTTGCCTCATTATGGTTCAATTATGTAATGATGACTGTGCCTATGGTGACACTAGGGGCTCCTTATGGTGCGTCCGAGTGTGCGCACACATTCCTGCACGATGTGTTATAGGCAACCCATTATTTCAAGGGGCTACCGAGCACATAGGAGAACACAAACAGTACACAGGCACAATTTTAAAATTACGGAGCACCAAATCGCATGGCACTGCAGGATCATGCATTTTGGTCACCATGAACGCACCCATGTTTGCTAGATGCATGGGGATGCCATTAGTAACTGGGGTGAAGCCCTAAAACTTCTCCAGATACCACCAGCAGAAAATCATATATGGTGTGGCAGGGGCGGACTGATAACTCATGGGACCCCCGGGCAATAGGGGCTCATGGGGCCCCTGTGTCCTTGCCCAAACTCAAAAAAGCCTATGAAAAAGGTACCAGGGGCATCTCATGGGGCCCCCTACTGACCCCGGGCCCTTGGGCAGTGCCCGAGTTTCCAAATGGTCAGTCTGCCCCTGCAGAGTGGAGTTACACCTCTGGCCATTGTGCTCGTCCCAAGGAAAGGAGCCAACTGGAGCGTCCAATGCACGTTTCCATTGGACGGAGGTCTGTGCCTACCGAGACATGTCAAGAAGTCATTCTCACCTTGAGACTTGCTACAAATGTACAGACAGATCACTGGGGGAGGGGAGACTGAGGAAATGCTTCCTCGTGCCTGCAGCAGACTGACAACATTATCTCAGCCCAGGCAAAGCCACCAACTGGATTTGAAGGACGGCTCTTTCATGATAGGTGGAGCTGTTGCTGTATATTGTCGCTCTGTAGGGAATTTAGTTAATGACAGGTCCACTTGACACATGACCAACCCCAGACCGCCATTTAGGTTATATTTTTTTCGGTATGTTTGGCATGTACACTTTTAACCCCATCATCATAAAAGTGTCATGGAATTTCTAATGGGGTCAGTGGGGTCATCAGATGACAGGATAATAAATATTCCTAAAAAGTAGGCGGGCCAATCGTGTCTAAAAGACGATAAACATGACACCTGTCACCTGTGTGAAGGACAATGCCAACCAAAAACATGGCAGGAACTTCGACCTGGACATGCTGAAGTGTCCCTGACTGTCACAGGTATGGATGCAATCAGGGACACTGGATGGCTACACGGGTCTGGTGACAGTGTGACTGGTGTCACTAGTGATCAGGTGCACCGGTGACACCGAGACTGGTGTGGTGTCATTCAAGACCACTGTTGCAGGCTGTACTGGTCTGGCAGCGATTAGGAACACTGTTGCTGGCAACACCTGTACTGGTGTGATGGTGATCAGGAACACTGTTGCTGGCATCCCTGACTGTCAACTAGTGATGGGCTGAACAATCCCCCTGTTCGGTTTGCAGTCGAACATTTGAACCTTCTGAAAGTTCGACCGTGAACTTTGAACCGGGACAATTCCCTATGCAGTATCTTACTGCATCCGAGTATGTGGTAAGATACCCTACAGCTACTAAAATCCGGCGTGTTTCAGATGTCAGCGGGGTTCCCCACTGACAGCTGAATGTCAAAAGAATTGCTGGCAATTACAAATTAAAAAAAAAAAAAAACATGGGGTCCCCCCCCATCCACACCAAGCCCTTTGGGTCTAGTATGGATTTTGAGGGGAACCCTCAACCCAAAAATATTTTTCAAAATGGCGTCGGGTCCCCTCCAAAATCCATACCAAACCCTTATCCGAGTATGCAGCCCAGCAGGTCAGGAAAGAGGGGGGATGAGCAAGCGTCCCCCCTGAACCATACTAGGCCACATGCCCTCAACATGGGGGGGTGCTTTGGGGCAGAGAGGCAATCCCCCTCCCCAAAAGCACCTTGTCCCTATGTTGATAGAGTCAAGGGCCGGTGGTCGTGGGGGTCTTATCGGAATCTGGAAGCCCCCTTTAAAAAGTGCTCCCCCTCGAAAAGCACCTTGTCCCCATGTTGATAGGGACAAAGGCTTCTTTCCCACAATCTTGGCCGGTGGTTGTGGGGGTCCGTGGGTGGGGGGGGGGGGCTCATCGGAATCTGGAAGCCCCCTTTAACAAGTGCTCCCCCCCAAAATCACCTTGCCCCCATGTTGATAGGGACAAGGGCTGCTTTCCCACAACCGTGGTTGATGGTTGTGGGGGTCTGTGGGTGGGGGCTTATCAGAATCTGGAAGCCCCCTTTAACAAGGGAACTCCCAGATCTCAGCTCCCCCCCACTGTGAATGAGTATGGGGTGCATGGTACTGCTACTCATTCACATAAAAAAAAAAATGTAGTAGAAAAATAACAGTAGGCAGTCCTTGACAAGTCCTTTTTTAAAAACAAAAATAAAAAAAATATCCCCCCCGAAGTAAATCCAACGTCAATCACGATGCCTGCCGCCACCGCCGACCCCCCCAAAAAAAAACAAAAACCGCTCCACTCTCGGTGCCGGCTCCCAACGTCTGACAACTGCACTGGGATGACAGTTCTGTGATGATCTCACAAAGTGGCTGGTCACCCCCGCCCCCTTGGGACATCC